AAGTTAATGAATGACTTATCTCATGGCGAGATCTTTGACAATAGAAATTTTCCAATCATATAGTTAAATATTTCAGTTTAACAACTTTACCAAAATATTGCAATAACAATTATAAATATGAATGCAGGTCGTTATTTTAAGAAGTAAGGGGGTACAAATGGAAAGATTTGAAATCTACAAGTTTTCTGTTCCGCTGAAACAGCCGTTAAATACTTCTGTCTTTTATCATTCTTTCATTTACTCACTGAAACCAAGTAGCGTCTGTCTTATTTCGATATGTAATCAAAACGATTTAGTCCAATATTCATGACGTATTGAGAGAAAACGTTTATCTTTTCGTCTTTCTTTCTAGTGAAACCCCCCGTCTTACGAGTATTTCGCTTAATAATAATTTCAAAAAACTCAGCAGACGATTTTTGGTGTTTGTTTTCCTGTGTTTCTATCATTTGCTACGGTGAATTTGAAAAATGGGACATTTATCAGTCAGCTATATCTCATGCGGGATACAAGCTTATGCGACCATGTATCTTTCGATATATAATTGACGAAGCAAATTTTTACCCACAGTAGGGTGCCATTTCTTTCCGCGATAGTGCAGTTGCCATCCAAGGCTATAGAATCCAGTCTGTCCTGCTATTTATTCATAGCTATGGAAAGAGGATTCATACCTTTCCCAAGGATATTACCACGTAAGTCGATATAATGGATTCGACTGGAATTCGAACTCGGCTCTCCGATTCCTCAATAAGAACCACTATCCATTACACCACCGCGCATCCTCTTACACAAGTATCCCCGTCTCAATAAATTCATGAAATTTTTTAATCAAAGTGTTGTATCTGTTGTCAGTTTAATCTGATTCAATTCTGCTAACTACCACCACCATTACATACACACTGTGCATAGAAATCATGCGACAAGCATTCATTGGTTGATCTCCTCAAAACTAGCTCGCTGATTGGCCAATTCCGACTAATCAGATATCCTGCACGCGAGGAATGAATTTTCCGCTCACTAAGGTTGAGCCGATCACGTGATACCCAGCCTTATATAAACAAAACACGTGTAAGCTCTCTCTATTTTCGTTTTCTCATTCATCATTCTCCTTGCTGCCAAAATGTAATCTTCAAGAACTCCCGTCTTTACCATGCAGTCGGACGTTAAAGAACATTACAACATTCACGCAAGTATAACTCTTAACTCTTCTGAACACTTACCAACTTTATCCAATACACAATTCCTTACATGCTAAAAGGAAATTTATTCTTCTAAACTACAGTTTAATAATTACTTCATCTTTACGAGCTCAGGTACAAATATTTCCAAGTCTAAGAGACATAACTCTATCAAACCTTCAGCTTATATGCATGTACATCAAACACTAATAAATTCAATTGTTATGTTTTGAATCATTACATTCAGTCTTGTATTTTATACTATGTGCTATTTTACGTCAAATATAATTTGCATTGCGTCCACGCATTTTACTTAATCACACCTTTCCTAGTCAAAAGATAAATATATGTAGCATCCTCCGACATAATGGTGACCACAACGTTTAGGAAAGGCCGCGACATAAATAATGAACTCGACGACGCAAAGGAACGCCCGACGTTGAGGAAAGCCAATGCCTAAAAACCACCTAATAGCCAGACAGGACGAACATTGAAATTTTTCCTACATCACGTGGTGACAAAACCTGCCATTGTTTTCTGCATTGCTTACCATACCTTTAACACAATCTTTGGGCGACTCACTGTCTCGAACAACATTTACGACGCATCTTTCGAATAAAATTTGCTGTGAAGATTTACTACATAATCACTAATAAGCAAAAGATAAATATATATAGCACACTCCTACACAATATTCTTATCTTTCTTACTTTGTTTTTTTCACAGATTTCAAGAAGTGTACTGCCACTATTTCCACGAGATCAAAACGGAATAAACCATTATACTTTAGGTATTGACACGACTAAAGAGGCACGCGAAAGAGGGAGTGGGCAAGGACAATTATAAAAGGATATTTATATTTTTATATATCTATGTGACCAGTTGATTAAATCCTCGGTTCATGAATTTGGTGAAAAGGTTCTTTCAAAAGTTAGATCTGGAAAATATAGAGAGAATACACATAATTCCTTACTAGACCAGCAAAAATCAATTTACAAAATAAACAGGAAAAAACGAAACAATCTGTAGTAGGCAGTTATCAATTACGTTAGGTCAGTTTCAAAATAGTCATATGGAATATATAAATAAATTATATATAATTCTTTACTACGTCAGGGATAGATGTAAAACTGCATTTATATCTTGAACAGAAAAAAGTAACCATCTGTAGCTGGCAGTTATCAATGAAGTGTAAGCACTTTCAAAACTGACATCTGGAAAATATAAATAATGTCCATATAATTGTTTACTAAGTCAGGAATAGATGTAAACTGTGTTTATATCATGAACAGAAAAAAGAACACCATCTGTAATATTCAGTTATCAACGATGTTATCTCACTTTCAAAACTAATAACTGGAAAATATAAATAAAGTATATATAATTCTTTAAGCAGATGCAGCTAAATTTGAAACTTTACTTATATGAGAAAAAGCACAGCCTACTTAAATGTTAGATGCATTTTTTCTGACTACTCGACAACGTTTGATCAATATATTTTTTACTTTTATCATTATTATTATTATTATTAATAGGGCTAGTAGTATTAACAGTAGTAGTAGTATAACAACTGGAGCACATTTCGATGCTTGTAAAATCAAATATAAAGCGAATCTGTATTTACATTTTGGATCAATGATAACATAATTAACACCAGGAAAAGACGGGTGAAATTTCTTGGGCACATTATGAGGAAGAAGGGCTTGGAAAATCTGATACACACAGGACAAATTGAGTGAGGGGGGCAGAGGAAAGCAGCCTGTAATATACTTGATGAGCTTGGGTAAATAAATAGCAGAACAGAGTTTAGGAGAAATAACAAAAAGAAAAATTATTAAGAGCTATAAGGGACAGGAAGATGTGGAGGCCATGATCGCCTCCGTCCTGAAGGGACACGCCACATAAAAGAAGAACATGCTATTCTGCTTGACCAACACTGAATACTACGGAAAAGTAGTGTCGTTCCTTATTGGGTGACCCATACAAACTTCATCTTTATATATTTCGGGTTGACATACAAAACCAAATGATCAACATCCCTCCCCAAATATATTAGACAAATCTTACAGATGCATGTTGGGGTTTTTCCTACTCAATAAAAATTCTCGCATCTAGCTACCTCATTAATGTTCTTTTTTGCCTTGAAGTCCGAATTGTATATTCATTAGACTTACAGACTTTTGAAATTTTGCTGGCAAAGAGCTGCTTTGGTTTACTTTGTTGACTTCATTATATAATATATGGAGTGGAAGGAGAAATAAAACTGCTTGTAATGAATACAACACTGCTCCCTATCCGGGACCAAAACCTCGCACAGAGGAAGCAACTCCTGTTTCCAAGCACAGTATAGAGAAACCACTAAGTTTAACTTAAGATGCAACATTCAGACGATGCCTTCACATTGATGAATGTTTTACTTCTTACAGAAAAAGCCAGCAAACACTCTCCCCACATCTGGGTGTTGGTGTTGAACCAGTCCTATTGTCGATTGCATCACAATAATTCTGTTAAGCTTGGAGATTAATTCAAAATTATTTTTGCTCAACCTAGAAACTAATAGTTTTATATAAAAAAAAAAAAATGCCGGAGTCTTCCAATAAGATATCTTTAATCATTTCTAAGATACAACGTTTCAAAACTTAATCTAAGAAACGGACAATTTTCTTTTACATTATTTGTAGAATTGCGTTGTTACACCCGGCACACACACACACACACACACACACACATACACACACACACACATACATATATATATATATATATATATATATATATATATATATATATATATATATATTGTAAAGGTAGCACATCCGTTGTTATATAATCCAAGTGGATATTAAAACTGATCGACAAAAAGGGTTCAATATATTTATTATTGCAGAGCAAATAATTAATAAACAATAAAATCTAAAATCCAAAGTCACCTCATGTGGGGAATAGACTATTTCGTCTGCTTTATCAACCCCAGTGTGGGCTGGGTTCGTGTCAGAAATAGAAAGTTAACTGTGAAAGGTAAAATATCAACCTGTCAAAATGCTAATAAAGAATTTCTCAATTTCAAAGTTTCAGTCAGACGAAAAGCACGAGACGGCCAACTTAAAAAAATATCCAAATGTTTAACAATTTTTATCTTTATTTTCAACAATTATATATATATATATATATATATATATATCCCTGTTAAATGGCTTTTCCTTACATTTGTTCCTTTTCTTTCCTCTATTTTTTCCTCTTTCTTCCTCTCCTTTACGTTACGATTCATTTTTTTATCAGACATTTTAGTATTGACAAGCTCCAGGGAATTTATCTCTCCAGGAGCGAAATGCCTATATAAATAGGGTAAAATTGTGTTTTATTTTTATTCAATTCATTTTTATGCTATATAATAAACATATTGAGTTTTTTTTGTCGGTCAGTTTTAATATTTTATATTATTATGATTCGCATGGTTCATTCATCAACAGATTTTACCTATATATATATATATATATATATATATATATATATATATATATATATATATATATATATATATATATATATTGTCCTAATGATCTGTATGTCCGAGCACTTTTTGCCTATAGTTTTAGCCTTTCTGAAGGATGATTTTATTTTTACTTCCTTAAATAATTATATTGGATATACTGTAATATACGTAACAAGAACACATACGTTTATTACATCAACTACAAATACGGCCACAATGTACTGACTGTGTTTTGAATTTAATAAAACATTCCTATAATTCTATATACATACATGAAACAATCCACAGAGTTAATGACTAAAAGTATAGTCGAGCATGCGGAACATTCTAACAATATATATATATATATAGAGAGAGAGAGAGAGAGAGAGATAGATAGATAGATAGATAGATAGATAGATAGATATCTTGTGACAGCAAAAGAGTTCAGATCGTGTAACATGAAAATTGTCCATTTGTTTAATTACGTCTGAACCGTTGTATCATAGAAATGATTAAAAATATCTTTCTGGAAGTCTCCGGTGTTTTTATAACGTTATTGGACTCTACAGGAAGCAATAAGATTATATTACATGTTCCTCATTAATTACTTATAATTAAAGATTGGATTCTTATGAAATACATATATATATATATATATATATATATATATATGTGTGTGTGTGTGTGTGTGTATTGTTCCAGAATCATTTTCAAACGATTTTCGCCCACTTCTAACATTCTCTGCTAAATATACACACACTGGAAATGCAAACGCATGAATAACTCTCTCTCTCTCTCTCTCTCTCTCTCTCTCTATATATATATATATATATATATATATATATATATATATATATATATGTAGGCAAATATATGGAAATAGATCCGACAGTATGAAGAAAAAATATACGGAAAAAACAAACAAAAATCCTATTATGCTGTTTTAATGTTAATATAACGTCAACATCGGACGTTTCGGTGTAATAGACCATCTTCAGGACATATTCATAAAACATAATTGACATTAGACTATATTTAATTCAACATGGTTTATTAGACCGAAACGTCCGACGTTGACATTATATTAACATTAAAACAGCATAATTGCATATTAGGATTTTTGTTTGTTTTTTTTCCGTATATTTTTTTCATATATATATTTTTTTCATATATATATATATATATATATATATATATATATAGTGGTACTCGCTTGGAAAAACCTTAGGTATTTCGGCTTGTAATTGAACAAACCAATACCCAAGGAAAAATGAGGAATAAAAAACATAGAACCAAGAACATGAAACTGAGGCGAAGACAATCTTTCAGAATTCAAGCTGAGAGTCCAAAGAAAAAAAAACCTCGATAACGAGTAAATGTCACAACGTAAATTGCTCAATACACGAAGTTGAGCAAACCTAATATAAACCGAAAGAGCCAGGAAAACCTACCTAGGTATGTTTACCTGGATCTTTAGGGTTTATATATATATATATATATATATATATATATATATATATATATATATATATATATATATATTGGTAGTACTTGCATGGAAAAACCTTGGCTATTTCGGCTTGTAGTAGAACAAATCGGTACCCAAGGAAAAATGAGGAATAAAAAAAGAAAGAACTAAGAACATTAAACAAGGCAAAAACAATCGTCCAGTGTTCAAGCTCGGAGCCCAAAGAAAAAATTGGAACAGAATATATAGCTTAAACCAAAATAATAAAAAAAAAAAGATTTCGGATCGTGTAACATGAATTTTTTTTTGAGGGGGGGGGGTCACGTGGTTATGGTTGTTTTTGGTTTAAGCTTTATAAACTGTTCCAATTTTTTTTTCTTTTTGGCCAGTTTTACCCTGACGATCCGTTTAGGTGAAACCTAGGTAGGTTTGCCTGGCTCCTTTAGGTTTATATTAGGTTCTCTCTACTTCGAGTATTGAGCACTTTACGTAGTTGCCTTTTACTCGTTTTAGAGTTTTTTTTTCTTTGGACTCTGAGCTCCTTACGATTTTCTTTCATATATATATATATATATATATATATATAGATACACCTAGTGAGCCAGACAAATCTACCTAGGTTTCACCTAAACGGATCGTCAGGGAAAGTTTGGCTCTACGGTTGTATTGAGCTCTTTTGTTAGTTAGTTGTTACTCGTATCGGGGTTTTTTCTTTGGGCTTCAGACCTGCATCTGTGCGATTTTTTTTTGTCGGCAGAAGTTCATGTTTGTAGCTCTTTCTTTTTTAAAACCTTTTTTTTCCCTCGAGATTGATTTGATTAGCAAATAAAAAATTCGAGGGTTTTTCGAAAACGAGTCTAGTTATATATATATATATATATATATATATATATATATATATATATATATATATATATATATATATATATATATATATGTGTGTGTGTGTGTGTGTGTGTGTGTGTGTGTGTGTGTGTGTATTTGAACTGGAAGTCGCCTTTATAAATGTGTCGTTAATGACAACGGGAAAGGAATTTCTTAACCTTTTTTATTCAATTTTTCTTTTGTTCGTACAAGTGTTTCCTTTGCTGGACACATACTGTAAAAACTGTGCAAAAGTTCTGCACGTATCCGAAAAGATGTCTGATGTTCTTTTATCCATTATCAAAGACAGTTTTTATTTTTTTTCATTTTTAACTAAATGTCTAATTTATTATGCATGTGTCTCAAGGTATACGAATGTTTTATTTTACGAACACAGTCACCATGTGATCATAGTTAAAGTATTGGTTTTTCCTTTTTTATTATTAGGGCTTCCATTATTTTTAATCTTTTTTTTTTTTACATTTAGATGAGGCTATTATACTTGTATTTTCTAGGAATATGTTTCGGATTGAGTTTGTAGTTTTTTGTATCTGTTTAATTGAGTCCTAACTGAATTATGATCGGTTAGATGTAAGCCGAAAGTCGTCTAGATAGGCATGTAGTAGTATGACCAATGTAATTATTTATGAATTTGGTTTGATCAGAAACACATTTCCTTAATGGGCATTTGAACTCCTAAATAATGTTGGTTCGTTGTAGTTTTAATTTTGCGGGTGTGTTGATATATTTGAGGATAATGTTATTTGTTTTGATAACTTAATTTTCTTGTTCAGGTCGATTGCAGTTGTGAATTTCTTTAGGATATTTCTAAAAGAAAATTTGTCGTGCTTATATTTGACATGTATTTGGCTTTTGGAGAAGATGTTAATGTTATTGTTTTTTATCTCTATCTTCAGTATCGCTATTAGTTATCAGTTATTAGTGTTACTATTGTTTGTTTTTAATCTTTTTCACACGTGGATGAGGCTATTATACTTTTCTAGTGCTATATAGGTCATTGTGTGTGTTTGATTCCGTCCTAATAGCCGGATAGGTGTAAACGTAAGCCGTCTAGATAAGCATCTAATAGTTTGACAAATGTAATTATTTGTGTGTTTGGTTTGATCAGAAACACAGTTCCTTAAGGGTCATTTGAATTCGTAAACTCGTTGTAGTTTTGACTTTATGGATGCCTTGTCTTTTTTGTTTGTTTTTTGTTATTTTTTTTGTTTGTTATTTTTTTTTTGAAGAACACATGAGAAATTTAATAAAAAAATTAATCGCAATTACTTGTCAGTCGTCTTTAACGAAATCATATGGGGACCTCATGTATATATATATGTATATATATATATGTGTGTGTGTGTGTGTGTGTGTGTGTGTGTCTGTGTCTGTGTGCACGCGCGTGTGTTTTGACTAAAATTCGGTATTTAATTAGATACATGGAGAGATTATCTAGATACGAATGGAAGTAGGGATTCAGTTGTTTTTGATAGATAGATAGATAGATAGATAGATAGATAGATAGATAGATAGATATGAACTGGAAGACAGATAGCTACGAACAGACTGAGATAGATAGATAGATAGATAGATAGATAGATAGATAGATAGATAGATAGAAACAAAGCTACGAACAGACTGAGATAGAGACATACATAGATAAATACGAAAGAAACATTTATTAATTTAGTGAGATAAATAAAAACGTATGAACTGTTTTAGATTTTAAGAAAATAATTTATTAAGAAATAAATATATATATATATATATATATATATATATATATATATATATATATATATATATAAGGGAATTTCATCTTTGATTTTTACTTTAATCACGTATTTTAAATTCAATCATAATGTTGTTATGGAAGACAAAATTGTTCATTTGTTTAACTCGTTTTAGGCATTTCAGAGCGATTATTCCGCTCTAACCTACTTTAAAATCCGCAATAATATTAGATGCCATTATGAATTTGCTTTAATTATTAATAATTAAGTTTATTAATTAATAAATGACTTGCTTTGACATGTAAATTTCTGCCATCAAAAGAAATTGCTGTATCAGGTAAATCGGAAAGGATTTTTTTTTGCTTGTGGCTTCTTCGAAACTAGTAATGGAGCAAAAGCTGAAATCTTGAAAATATACATCTAAAAAATTAAATTATTCAAATTAATGGCATACATTTTCCAGATCAAATAGACGGAAAAATGGATTAAGCTGTAATTTGCATGTGGAAAATAAATACAGGCTGTAATCAAAATATGTAAATCAGTCTAATTTTAAGAGTGCTTACAACCCTTAACAAAGTGTTGTTGTGGCGAATTGTAAGGAAGCATGCTTACGTTTTTTCAATGCTTCGATTGAAGTGAAGTACATGTTCTTCACGTCTCTGTCGTATCTATGCTTTGAGGGAGATCAGTGGTACCAGGAGTTCCAGCATTATGGAAACACCTCCCTTATTTCATTTAAAGAACTGAGGGTCAGTGGTAAACTGAAACCTGTGTGACAGTGCGGTCGTAGAGACCGGTCGGTTTTTGGATTTGCCGATGACAACACTATATGAAAAAAAGATTTCTAAACGGCCCTATTGCACTTAGACTTCGAGAATGGTTGCCAACAAAGTTTAAAGAACCTAGTCTACCCTACTATTTAACCGATACCTAAAGGAGAGATATAACTATCCCAAGGCTATTTGCACATAAGTGAATGTAGCATGTGTATGGCTCGCTATGTGTTTGCATCCATATTTGTTTGAAGATCAACGAATTCATATATATATATATATATATATATATATATATATATATATATATATATATATATATATATGATAAATTATATATTTAAGGTATGCGGTTAAAGTGATAAATATCCAGGGAGCGTATGTAAATATAAAAGTAGGCATTGAAGTCAAGAGCCAGATTGCCTTTAATTACGAAACAGCTTGATGGGAACAGTTTATATATATATATATATATATATATATATATATATATATATATATATATATATATATATATATATATTATAAAAAAAGAAAGATCAGTAAGATATATAAATATAACCCGGTATTCTTATTGATATTTTTTATTTTTTTTTTCAAAACAGTGCTCAATATAAATTTACAGAGCATATATATTACAAATTAACTGATTTAAAAATATGGTTCCTTCGCTACACAGGAATTATCAAACAAAAAAACCGTACGTAAAAACTTCAAATTTAATTATATAATTAAATTAAAAGCATTAAATTAAAAACATTAGTTCTGTTTCATCTACAAGCGAATTTTGGAATATATATATATATATATATATATATATATATATATATATATATAAAAGCGACAGACAAGGTACTACAGTTAAGCGTTTTATTTAATTTTTCCTGTGTTCAAAAAGAGCTTATTTTATTAACACAAAGTGTGTAGAAACTGTCCATGTCTTCACTTAGAAATTATAAAGATATACACTACCCCAATTGTCGCGAATAAAAAAAATAAATTGTCTACTATAAAAAATTTAAGTCAGTTAACCTTATCCTCAAGAACAACAACACACCGGTTAAGTCAAAATTACAAAGAACAAACATTATCTATGAGTTCAAATGCCCCTTAAGGAACTGTGTTCCTGATCAAACCGAATTCATAAATAATTACATCAGTCATACAACTACATGCCTTTCAACATATGTAGGTTTGCAGGAAAGGCTAAATTTAGTTTTAAGCTTAGTCTCTCTATGCTGATGACTGTGACCTGTTCGAACACACAAATCAGCACGCACAGGGGTTCGTGGATGGACTATTAGTATCATGTAAGTCTTTTGGACTGCCCATCAGCCTAGACAATACAGTTTTGATGTTTCAACCAGCCTGATGAATTTACTATATAGAGCCATCAATTTATGTTGATGGTTGTCGACTTGGGGTAGTAGACAAATTTGTATACCTTGGTAGCACCCTCAACTTTCACTGCTCCCTTAATCATGAGATAGTATTGCGGATTAAGAAAGCCTCCGATGCATTTGCAGCACTCAAGTTACGTGGCTGGAGTCAGAAGGGTATCTCTGCTATATTCATGTGAAACTTGGGTAGTCTATCGCAGACATCTGAAGATACTGGAATGTTTTCATCAACGATGCCTTCGGTCTGTGCTTGAAATCCACTGGGTGTCTCACATCCCTGATACCCTGATTTCTGGGAGAGCTGGTATGGCTGATGATGTGAAGAGGTTCTATGAAGCATCACAAGAAAATGCAGAACAACAAATAGACTTTTATCAAATATTTGTAGATCTGAAGAAGGCTTTTGACACTGTTAATCGTGCTGGTCTCTAGAAAATCCTCTCAAAATTGGGCTGAACTTCCTGAAGATTCTTAGGTCCTTCCATGACGGTATGAAGCCTGTATCAGTTTTGTCGGTATAATTACGGCACCCGTCAAAGTTGAAAATAGAGTCAAGCACGAAGAACTTGTGACTCCTACGCTGTTTTCTATCTACTTTGCAAGTTTAGTGCGCAACCTTCTCTATGCTGCTGAAGAGACGAACTCTGATTTTGCGAAATAAATTATTACCATGGATTTCTAATGATTCCGTTTTCATTATTATTATTAATTTTGCTCTGTTCTTACCTTGAGCTCTCTTTGGATTTATAACCTCTTTGGAATTAGCCCTACTAATTATCAAACATACACACACATATATATATATATATATATATATATATATATATATATATATATATATATTTTTTTAGATATTTTCTCTATGCCGCTGACGGTGATCTGGTCGCACAAACAATTCAGCACGCACTTGAGTTTATGGATCGACTATCAGAGTTATGTAAGGCTTTTAGACTGTCCATCAGCCTTGATAAGGTAGTGGTGGTTACAACCTGCCTGAGGAATTCAGTCCATCAATTTATGTTGATGGTAGTCGACTTGGGGTAGAAGACAACTTTGTATACCTTGGTAGCAGCCTCAACCTTCACGGCTCACTTGATAATGAGTTAGTGTTGCGGATTAAGAAGGCCCCTGAAGATACTGGATCGTTTTCATCAACGATGCCTTTGATCTGTGCTTGAAATACATTGGGTGTGTCACATCCCTGATACTATTGTTTTTACAAAAAGTCAATTCCCTCTCTATGGAAGTAATTATACACAAATACAGATTTTGATGGACAGGCCATCTTATTCATATATCAGATGACAGAATGCCAAAACAATTAATGTATGGAGAATTGGAAATAGGTAAAAGACAGCAGCACAAGCACAAGCCAAAACTTCGTTACAAAGATTGACTTAAAGAGTCACTATATAAGTGCAATATTGGTCTGGATAACTGGGAGACTCTAGCTGAAGACGGGGTTTCTTGGAGGGCTGTCGTATGGTTGATGATGTCAAGGTCTTCTATGAGGCATCACAAGAATATGCAGAAATGAAGAGAGGGGGTCAGAAGTGATCCCTGAATTGTCAAGAGGTACCAACTTGACCATATGCCCAAAGCAATCGGATATGTCTGTCCAGGGCATGTCTGCTCAGTCACCAGAATTCACACAAAAGCCAACAGTCTATATAGCATATAACGATTTCGTAATGGCATGCTTTTAATGTCCGACATGCACTAAGGTGTGAAAGTCCAGGTCGGACCTGACAAGGCATATGAAAAGACACGTTGGAAGTTATGATGATCAATGTCAACTTCCACTACCCGGAGATGATTTGATATACAACATATATAACAAGAAATGCAGATCGATGGCGGGCTTTATGATCCACTGTAATACACACAACCGATGAATGCAGTAATGTGGGAGGGGTGAGTTTAACTGATGGTCTGGACATGACATTGATGGTCATACTCGCTTTGTGAGTAGACAGCCACTATATATATATATATATATATATATATATATATATATATATATATATATATATAATCAAATGGATAAATATTGTTAAATTAAATGTACTTGCAAGCGATCGTATACAAATACACACACACATACATATATATATATATATATATATATATATATATATATATATATATATATATATATATATAGTGTAAAAAAGCAACAGATCTCAATCAATATTAAAAGGTCGTAAACCAAAAATCTGCCCCTGAAGCCTGCAGACAGCATGAAACTCTGAGTTGTGCAATCAATGTAAGGTATTATATATTTTTTATATATATATATATATATATATATATATATATATATATGTGTGTGTGTGTGTGTGTGTGTGTGTGTGTGTGTGTGTGTGTCTGTGAATGAGTGTCCGTGTGTGTGTGCGTGTGTGAATGAGTGGGTGTGTAGAAAGAAAGTCAAAAGGAAACGTGATCTAAAACCGACGAATTTCGTCCTCTGATGGACGTCTTTAAGGCAAATACAAGGATTTTGTTTTGCAACGACTGTGTATCGACAGAAATAAAAAATATTTCTTTTTCAGAAATTTTAAATTTAAATCTAACTGGCTGATTGATTTATGTTTTATATATATATATTAAGTAACAGACGTTTTTTTATTTAAGGGTTTATTCTTTTTCATATTAAACATTTTATTGTCGCGTATCTTGGCTTGGGAAATATGTATTTCTTCGAGGAATGAATATCTATGAAAATTACGAAGCGCAGATTTACATTATTGTAAGATACAATAGCGGCACTCTCAAGTTAATTACTTCCTCTTTTAATAACTGCGGCATTCTTCAGATTTAAATAGTAGCTGATATTATTTCTAGATATGCTTCCTCTTGTATTCATTCATACTGTCTTTTTGCAGATATATGTGATTATTCGCACTCACTCACACACACGCACACGCAAATATATATGTTTATATACTTATACACATAGACACACATATATACATACATATATATCCATATATATCTATGCACATGTAAACACATATATGCATATATATACACATATATATATATGTATATATATATATATATATAAACATATATACAAATATATACACATAATATATATATGTATATATAAACATATGCATATATATATATATATATATATATATATATATATATATATATATATACACACGCTCCCTAAGAACCAAATAACACACACTTAACACAGAACCAATAAAACTGTGAAAATGACTAACGGAATTCAGAGCAGCATGAATCCATCCAGCTTTTATCTTAAATAACAACTCAAAAGAGATTGTTTGACCAACACAAGGACTGACCAAAATTCATGTTAAAAAAAATAAAAAAATGAAAACTTCAGATAAAATTTCACTTTCTCCATCAAGACATTCATTTCTGTAGTGTACTGCTACTAACAAGCAGATTTTCTTTCTCCTGATGAGGGCCATGTTGGCCGAAAATTGTCGAGGTAT